GCCCTGCCACCGAGGAGCTTTTTAACCACCTCGGTGACCTCAGCACCAGAGATTGGAGGGCCCGACCCAGAGTCCCCAGGCTCCGCTTCCTCAGTGGAAGATGTGCCAGTGGGATTGAGGAGGTCTTCAAAGTATTCCGCCCACCGACCCACAACATCCCAAGTTGAGGTCAGCATCACACCACTCCCACTATAAACAGTGTTGGTGGCGTACCGCTTTCCCCCCCGAGACGCCAGATGGTGGACCAGAATCGTCTCGAAGCTGTGCGGAAGTCTTTCTCCATGGCCTCTCCGAACTCCTCCCATGCCCGAGTTTTTGCCTCAGCAACCACCCGAGCCACATGTTGCTTGGACTGCCGGTACCCATCAGCTGCTTCCGGGGTCCCACAGGCCAAAAAGGCCCAATAGGACTCCTTCTTCAGCCTGACAGCATCCCTCACCGACGGTGTCCACCATCGGGTTCGAGGGTTGCCGCCGCGACAGGCACCGACAACCTTGCGGCCGCAGCTCTGGTAAGCCGCCTCGACAACAGAGGCACGAAACATGGTCCACTCAGACTCAATGTCCCCCACCTCCCTCGGAACATGTTCAAAGTTCTCCCGGAGGTGGGAGTTGAAACTCCGTCTCACAGGAGACTCTGCCAGACATTCCCAGCAAACCTTCACAATACGTTTGGGTCTGCCAGGTCTGACCGGCATCCTCCCCCACCATCGTAGCCAACTCACCACCAGGTAGTGATCAGTTGACAGCTCCGCCCCTCTCTTCACCCGGGTGTCCAAGACATGTGGCCGCAGATCAGATGAGACGATGACAAAGTCGATCATCGAACCTTGGCCTAGGGTGTCCTGGTGCCAAGAGCACATATGGACACCCTTATGCCTGAACAAGGTGTTCGTTATTGACAATCCATGACGAGCACAGAAGTCCAACAACAGAACACCACTCTGGTTCAGATCAGGGGGGCCGTTCCTCCCAACCACACCCCTCCAGGTCTCACTGTCATTGCCCACATGAGCATTGAAGTCCCCCAGCAGAACAAGGGAGTCCTCAGAAGGTGCACTTTCCAGTACTCCCTCCAAGGACCCCAAAAAGGGTGGATAATCTGAACTGCCGTTTGGTGCATAAGCACAAACGACAGTCAGAACCCGTCCCCGCACACGTAGGCGGAGGGAGGCCACCCTCTCATTCACTGGGGTGAACCCCAATACACAGGCACCAAGTTGGGGGGCAATAAGTACGCCCACGCCTGCTCGGCGCCTCTCACCAGGGGCAACTCCAGAGTGGAAGAGTGTCCAGCCCCTCTCAAGGAAACTGGTTCCAGAGCCCGAGCCATGCGTAGAGGTGAGTCCGACTATTTCTAGCCAGAACCTCTCAGCCTCACACACCAGCTCAGGCTCCTTCCCCACCAGTGAGGTGACATTCCACGTCCCAATAGCCAGCTTCTGTAGCCGAGGATCAGACCGCCAGGGTCCTCGGCCACCACCCATCCCACATTGCACCCGACCCCTTTGGCCCCTCCCACAGGTGGTGAGCCCATGGGAAGGGGGACCCACGTCTCCTCTTCGGGCTATGCCCGGCCGAGCTCCGTGGGTAAAAGCCCGGCCACCAGGCGCTCGCCCGCGTGCCCCACCTCCAGGCCTGGCTCCAGAGTGGGGCCCCGGTGACCCACGTCCGGACAAGGGAACACTAGGTCCATTTGTGTTTCTCATCATTGGGGTCTTTGGGCTGCACTTTGTCTGGTCCCTCACCTAGGACCTGTCTGCCATGGGTGACCCTACTAGGGGCATAAAGCCCCTGACAGCATAGTTTCTAGGATCATTGGGACACTCAAACCCCTCCACCACGGTAAGGTGGCAGCCCAGGGAGGGGATGATGTCGTGTGTCGTTGGACAGAATACGTTGAAGACCTCCTCAATCCCACCGGCACGTTTTCCATTGAGGAAGCGGAGCCAGGGAACTCTGAGTCGGGCCCTCCAATCTCTGGTGCTGAGGTCACCGAGGTGGTTAAAAAGCTCCTCGGTGGCAGGGTGGATGAGATTTGCCCGGAGTTCCTTAAGGCTCTGGATGTTGTAGGGTTGTGTTGGCTTACGTGACTCTGCAATATTGCGTGGACATCGGGGGAAGTTCCCCTGGATTGGCAGACCGGGGTGGTGGCCCCCCTATTCAAAAAAGGGGACCGTAGAGTGTGTTCCAACTACAGGGGGATCACGCTCTTAAGCCTCCTTGGTAAGGTCTATTCGGGGGTTCTGGAGAGGAGGGTCCGTCGGATAGTCAAACTTCGGGTTCAGGAGGAGCAGTGCGTTTTTCATCCTGGTCGTGGAACACTGGACCAGCTCTACCCTCTCAGCAGGGTCCTGGAGGGTGCATGGGAGTTTGCCCAAACGGTTTACATGTGCTTTGTGGACTTGGAGAAGGCGTTCAGCTGCGTCCCTCGGGGAATCTTGTGGGGGGTACTCTGGGAGTATGGGGTACCGGGCCCATTGATACGGGCTGTTAGGTCTCTGTATGATCGGTGTCAGAGCCTGGTCCGCATCGCCGGCAGTAAGTCGGAATTGTTCCCGGTGAGAGTTGGACTCCGCCAAGGTTGCCCTTTGTCACCGATTCTGTTCATAACTTTTATGGACAGAATTTCTAGGCGCAGCCAAGGTGTTGAGGGGATCTGTTTTGGTGGCCTTGGGATGTCGTCTCTGCTTTTTGGAGATGATGTAGTCCTATTGGCTTCATCAGATCATGATTTACAGCTTTTGCTGGAGTGGTTTGCAGCCGATTGCGACACGGCCGGGATGAGAATCAGTTCCTCCAAGTCCGAGGCCATGGTCTTTAGCTGGAAAAGGGTAGAGTGCCCTCTCCGGGTCAGGGAGGAGGTCCTGCCCCAAGTGGAGGAGTTCAAGTATCTTGGGGCCTTGTTCACGAATGAGGGAAAAATGGAATGTGAGATAGATTGGCGGATAGGTGCAGCGTCTGCAGTGAAGCAGGCGCTGTACAGGTCTGTCGTGGTGAAGAGAGAGCTGAGTCAAAAGGCGAAGCTCTCAATTTACCGATCGATCTACGTTCCTACCCTCATCTATGGTCATGAGTTTTTGGTTGTGACTAGGGCTTTAACAGAGTACTCGAGTAATCTACACATCAATTGCTAGGACATCTATCGAGGTTAAAAATTTAACACAGAGTATCCTTAGTGATGTCGTATTATGTGACCACCATATGACCGTAGGGGGCGGTGTTGCACTGTTGCAGGTCACAAAGTATGGTGTAACACGGGGTCCAATCCACCGAACCAGAACCAGTTTCGGTTTAAGTTTCGTTTTTGACGTGCTGCATGATTCTTCACGTTTGCAGTTTAATAATAATAACTAATAGTTTAGTTTTTCCTGTGACTTATTTGCAGTATGATATTAGACAACATATATAGTAGGAGCATAATATATGTTCCCAATGTTTTGTTGGTCTTTTTTTTTTGTAAATAATTACCTTTTTTTGCGGTTTTATTTATTTATTTATTTTTGTATCTTGAGATCTATGACGTCATCAAATACTCTAGTTCTACTCGGGTTTTATTATGTTAATGTCGAGTTTAAAAATTATATACTCGTTCAACCCCTAGTTGTGACCGAAAAAACGAGATCTCGGATACAAGCAGTCAAAATGAGTTTTTTCCGCAGGGTGTCTGGGCTTTCCCTTAGAGATAGGGTGAGAAGCTCGATCATCCAGGAGGGACTCAGAGTAGAGCCGCTGCTTTTCCACGTCGAGAGGAGCCAGTTAAGGTGGCTCGGGCATCTGGGGAGGGAACAATGATCTTGAGTTTCCTCCATTTGTACACAATCTGTCTGACTGTGGATTGGTGGAGTCCAAACTCTACATATGTTTTGTAACATTTTTCAGCCTGATGAACATCAACAACTCTTTTTCTGAGCTCCTCAGAAATCTCCTTTGTTCCTCCATGATCTACTTCCACAAACATGTTGTGAAGATCAGACTTTGATAGATCCTGTTCTTTAAATCAGACAGGGTGTCCACTCACACCTGATCACCATTCATTGATTGAAAACACCTGACTCTAATTTCACCTTCAAATTAACTGATAATCCTAGAGGTCCACATACTTTTACCACTAATATGTAACAATGGATCATTTTCCTCAATAAATAAATGACCAAGTATATTTTTGTCTCATTTGTTTAACTGGGTTATTTTTATCTACTTTTAGGACTTGTGTGAAAATCTGATGATGTTTTAGGTCATATTGATGCAGAAATATAGAAAACTCCAAAGGGTTAACAAACGTTCAAGCACCACTGTACAAGAAAGAAAAAGCAGAAATTGAAGAGGAGGTTGCTAAAAGCATGTACACCTGGGGGGTGTCTGTCTTCCTGCATCAGGAAGTTTACAGTAGTTTGCTCAGCCCCATCAGGATTTCTCTGGCCTTTCTGAACTGGTGTCTGTTGGTGCGCCGCATAATTCACAGACGTGTGTTAACGTGTAGCTGATGAAAGTGCTGTCTGACGAGGCTAACGACAAACTGGTGGACAGACAGATGGACTTGTTCATTGATGCCCTCATCACATGGTATGTTCTGCTGTGGTAACAGCTTCACTGAGATTCCTGTGCTGCTGTCTGTCACAGTTTATATGGAGCAGCGTTCATTCTAATAAACGCATCACAACGTGATAGATTTTACCCTAAAAAGGTCACAATGACCTGTTGTCTACATGTGACACTAGTTGCTTTCAAGGTGTTTCAGTGTCTTCTGATGTTTTGTGTCATTAAGGGTACAAACAGATTTGTGTGTGTGTGTGTGTGTGTGTGTGTGTAAAACCTCAGACGTGCTGGTTATCAACTCGCATTTGTCAAAACAAACACTTTCACTTCCAGAATCTTAGGTTTGTTTGAAAACAGACTTCAGAAATCACTTTCCTCCTCCTCTGTGTTCCTTTCAGTCAGTGACTTTATTCTGTTTCCATTGTTCACTTTTCCTGTTCTTAACGTTCTTGTCCTCCTCAGATTCAGGCTCCAACGCTGCAGAGTGACCTTCGTCTCTCCGTGTCCTCCTCCACCAGCTGGAGTTACAGACCTGGACTGTACATATTATTTATCACAGCTGTGTGTGTGTGTGTATATGTGTGTGTGAGAGAGATAGTATTTTTTAATTGGAGGAATTTTTGTTCAGTTTGCCTAATTCCTTTAATAAAAACTTTATTTAAAAGCTTTAGGCTCTGATGTTTGTTCTGTTGAATATTTTCGGTTTGTAAAAGTTTTTTCAGTCGTTCACGTCAGACCATGATGATGTTTTGTTTGAAACCAATGAACGCATCATTAATAATGTTCTGCGTCAGCAGACATTTATGTGATCTGAAGCAAAACCAGTCCTGCCCCCAGTCAGAATCCAGCACAGATCGGTCGGAGCTCATTGTGCCTTTGGAATTCTCTGTCGCCCAGTCCTTATGTCACATTTTAAAGTGTTCATGTTGTTCGTGTATATTTTACTCACCTTCCTAAAACAATCACCTAAATCAATTGTTGGCAAATTTAGTGAAATTATCAGTAAATGTCATATTTTTGGTTAAGTTTTTTTGTGTTTTCTGAAGAACTTGGTAAAAAGAGTTAAAGTTCAAGGGGCTAGTTCATACGTTGTAGCTGGAAAAGCATGGCTGCCAGGAAGAAGCGGCTTGTTGATGGAGACTGAGACGGCCTGAGGTCCATCCAGCAGACACTTCCTGAGGGACATTTACTGGTTCACAAGCACTTTGGTTCCAAGAAAAATTTAGAAAAGCACTACGTAAAGGTGCATCTCAAACAATATCTTAAACGTTGGTTACGTACTGTAACCCCAGATTCTATGAGTATAAGCGTAGCCCTTTAAGGCTGTCGCTTGGTGGGTTTATCCTGTTATGCGGAGCATTAGCACTGAAAAATTTAATCCACGCCCACCTGCTGCCCTACCCGGTCCGTATAAATTACGTTAAGAGCGGGAAATCGGCTCCCAAAATAGCTTTTTCTTCAGCCATTTAGGAGCCAGTGAGGCCCGACGCTTAAAGAGCTACGCTTATATTCATAGAATCTGGGGTTACAGTACGTAACCAACGTTCTATTTCGAATAAGCTTCGCCCTTTAAGGCTGTTGCTTGGTGGGTTAAGGGCGAAGCAGATGTGGTCCTCGCCTCACTGGGTCTATTCGAACACCGTATGAAGCAGAAGCTTGCCCAAAAAACGTCTTGTCACTCAGCTCCCTATGTGCGTAATTACGCATTGCGTAATTATGTGAGTCATGCACAGACGCATGTTGTGTAACTATGCGTTCATGGCTGAGCAGTATAGGCAGATTAATAATAAATGACTGATTATTAATCAAATGAACTGATTGGTAACAATAGTCATGAACTGATTATTGACAATAGAACCAAAATAACAGACACAACTTGTGACTGATAACATCTCACACTGTGAAGCATGCAGACAGATGTGAGCTTAAACAGAGTTCCATGAAAACAACAATATTCATTCTGTTAGAGCACTAAGGACAGAATGTGTCATGGAACGGGCCGTCACATCACGTAGATAAGAGCGAATGAATGAGCAGGGTGTTGACCACGCGGCCGCAGTGCAAAAGTCCTGCATTTTCATACCATTATGCAAGACAGTCGAAGATGCGATACCCCTGGTCGAGTGCGCCCTGAGGTTGACAGGAGGCTCTAAAACTGATGCTCTGTAGGCTTCAGAAAGAGGCCTCACACAGCCAGTGTGACAAGCGCTGGGTGGATAACGGACAACCTGCAGGTGCATCTCTATAATGTACAAACAAATGTTGAGTTTGGCGCATTACAGCCGTGCGCACTATGTAACACGTCAACGCCCGCACCGGACAGAGAAGATGGAAGATGCTGCTGCTTCTGATCTGTGGGGGGGAGGGAAAACCCCTCCAACGATATTGCTCTTGATTTAAAAGAGCTTGTGATGTTTTTAGGCATAAAGGCTGGGTTTGGTCTTAAATCAGCTGAGCTGCCCGTCAGCCTGAATTCTAAGACATGACGGAGCGACAGAGAGGGCAGATGAAACACTCACCGTCTTAGCGGATGTTAAAGCCAGCAGCAGGACTGTTTTAAGAGACAAGAATTTAATTTGAACCTGATCCAGAGGCTCAAATGGAGCTTTGATCAGGGCTCGCAGGACCAGCGTTAAATCCCACTGTGGCACAAGTGGGCGTGAAACAGGCCTGCGTCTCTGTATGCCTTTTAGAAACTGCTTCATCAGCGGGTGATTAAAAGCTGTTCTGTCTCCGAACCCTTCGTGGCAGGAAGAGATGGCTGCAGCGTATGTTTTAATCGTGCTGAAATTCCAACTTCCTGTCCATCAGCTGTGTAGAAAAAACAGCACGCCGCCTAATGGACATGAGGTGGCCTCTACACCTTTCTCTGTACACCAGCGCTGAAAAACTGTCCACTTTGATGTGTACAGCACTGTGGTAGATGCAGCACGTGAATCCTGGATTGTGCGCACTACCTCCTGTGGGAGACCCATCCTCTCTAAGCGGAACCGCTCAGTGGCCGGACCCACAGGTGCTGGCCTATTTCTGGGTAACTCCTGATCGCTCCTCCTGCCTGGAGGAGAGCGTCCTCCCTTCATGGCAGTTTCCACGGGCGCCCCGACAGCAGGCGTTGTAGGGCTGAGAACCATGGTGTGTTCACGCACTCGGGGGGCCACCAGGAGAGCTGTCAATCCCTCCTCCTGAACTCGGTTCAGGAACCGTAAAATCAGAGGAGGTGGAGGAAAACGCGTGCAGAAGCGTTTTGGACCATGGGCTGTGGGCAAATGCATCCACCCCCAGTGGTGGTTTTGTCTCGCGGTCTCAGGGAAAAACCATAGTTGACACTGAGCGTTCTCTCGTGACGCAAACAGGTCCACAGCTGCTTTGCCAAATTTCTGTCACATCTAAGTCATCAGGTCTGGATGGAGAGTCCAGTCCCAGTGACGTGGGCCGCCCCTGGACATCACATCTGCCCCTTTGTTCAGAACACCGGGTATGTAAACTGCTCTGATGGAGAGCCGATTTTGGTGAGCCCAACACAGAAGCTTTCGTGCAATGTGTAACATCTGGGCTGAGCGCATACCCCCCTGTCGGTTTATGTACGCAGCAGTCACCTTGTTGTCTGTGTGAATCAACACATGTTGATTCTGTAGCGCGGGAGCAAAGTGCTGAATCACATCCAGCACCGTGCGACACTCCAAAACATTTATGTGGGCTAATGTGTGATGGGGCCACAGCGCCCCTACTGCTTGAGATAGGCATATCCCCCCCAGCCTGACAGCGACACGTCCGTGAAGACTGACACGTGACTGGGTCTGCTGACGGGGGCTCCCTCTGACAGAACCAGGGTGTTTCCCCAGTGTCGGAGGTCTGCCCTCACGGAGGGAGGAAACAGTGATCATCCGTCTCTTTGTTTTACTGGATCCACACGCAGACGCACAAACCACCTCTGGCGGCGTCTCATGTGTAATAAACCTAGCGGGACCACTGTGTGAGATGATGACATCATTCCTAACAGCTTCATGACAGGGACAGCTGTTGCCACTCTGCCAGGTCTTACGTGGCGGAGCTGGTCTCTTAAAGTGTTGATTCTCGTTTGTGATAAACGAGCCTTCATGGTCCAAAAAAGTTCAATCTGGTCCTCTGGACATTCAAAAAAAAAAAAAACAAAGCAAAAAAATATAGAAATGTTTCGTCTCTCATCCAAGAGACTTCCTCAGTCTGAGTCTGAGTCCTCAGTCTTCATGGTGCTTCATGGCACCATGAAGCACCACCATGAGCTCAACCACTATGAGCCTTCATGGTGGTTGAATTTAACTCCACTCCCAGATAAACAATTATCTGGGCTGGGAAAATCGAGCTTTTCTTCCAATTTATACCATACCATACCAATTTATTTATATAGCACTTAAAACAGCAACAAGGCCAACCAAAGTGCTGTACAAAAGAACACAAACATGCACAGCAGACGGGAAAACATAAAATAGAAATACAGATACAAATAGCAGCAGGAGCTAACTAAAATGGCCAACAGAGTAGAGAACAGACCGGACCAAAACAAATCACACCGTGTTAAAGGCAAGCGAATAGAAGTGGGTCTTCAAGCGAGACTTAAAGACTGAGAGTGTGGGAGCCTGCCGGACACTCATTGACAACTCATTCCACAGTCGTGGACCTGCAACAGAGAAAGCCCTGTCACCCCTGAGCTTACGACGGGTTTCTGGGACTGAGAGAAGCATCTGGTCTGCTGACCTCAGAGAGCTCGGTGGGACATATGGCTGCAGAAGATCAGTGAGATAGGATGGGGCGGAACTGTTCAGTGATTTAAAAACATACATGAGAATTTTGAAATGGATCCGAAGGTGAATGGGTAGCCAGTGCAGGGAGGCCAAAACTGGCGTGATGTGCTCTCTATAGCCTGTACCAGTTAAAAATCGGGCTGCAGCATTTTGGACCAGTTGTAGACGAGCAATGGAGGACTGACTGATTCCAAACAGTCAGTCGGGATGATTTATGGCGAAGCCCAGATTTGACAGATGTGATGTCAACACCTGAGCCTGCATCACTGCTTCCTGTCTGGAGCGTGACCGCCGCAGCAGGTCGTCCAGGTAAAACAAAACTCTCATCTCTGCTCTGTGTAACAGATGCAGGGCTGTCTCCACACACTGAGAACGTACGAGGCGCGACGGAATACCCGACCGGCAGCCTGTTGTACTGATACTTCATCCCCTGAAAGGAGAAAAACGCAGGAATTTTCTGTGTTTTGGGATGATCGGTATGCGTTTCTCTGGATGTTGTTCAACAGCTGTCTGGTTGTCAACATGTGAAAACGGTCTGTCCATGATCGCCTTGTTGAAAGCTGACAGATCCAAAATCAGTCTCATCCCTCCGGTCCGTTTGGGAACCAGGAAGTAACGTGAGTAAAACCCTGTGTTTTCCTCTCCGTTGGGAACCCTGGAGATCACTTTTATCAGAAGCACTTGGACTTCTGCATTTAGGGATGAGATTTGGTCGGTGATGACAGGACCGTCTCTATAACTCCTCCGAACGGAGGGGGTTGGGTTGCAAACTAACTTGTAACCATTTGCATAACACCTTGTCCATCCAT